CGGCATGCAGTATAGTTTGTGAATGAAGAATCTAAAGAAGCAGAAATTTGTGTTTCCTGTGGTTTAGATGCATCGTGTGTCTGCTTCCACCATTATAAGTTTTTAATTTTACATCTCCGTTGGATAACTAGTCTTTCTTCTTCTTCTATACTTTAATCTTCCACCATTAGAAGTTTTTAATTTTACATCTCCGTTGGATAACTAGTCTTTCTTCTTCTTCTATACTTTAATCTTCCACCATTAGAAGTTTTTAATTTTACATCTCCGTTGGATAACTAATATTCCTTCTTCTATACTTTCAGGAATTCAATAAGCATGACAAAGAGCCAGCAAAATTCATTAAGCAATGGAGAGGTACCAAGCCAAAGACAGGGGCTCCATATTCTTGTGATATTGGCTATGAACGGTTTCTCGGCCCTGAGGTTTTCCTTCTCTTTAGACACTAAGTTCTTGATTATCAAACAGCATATTTCATTTATTACCACATCTTATTTCTACAAAATTGTATAATAAAATGGCTCGTCAGCATAGTTAATAAACGTGGACTGGGCTGGCCAAGAGACAGTTGAACTGGACTCTGGTCTGGTCATGGTTACATTAGCAAACCATTAAGCATATGAACCCGGCTTCGCCCGTTCAGACCGGTCAAGAATTGTGAGAACCGCCGGACAGTTTTCAGTGAAAACCAGAACCGGTTCTATGGAAATCTGTTCTTTATCAAATCCCTTCAAAGTGAATTTTTAATATAATTGCTCGGATTTTTAATCAACCTCACTTGTGAAATGTTAGGCCAGTGTGTGCTAACAGAAATTGTGCGTTATGTTAGTCAGCAAAATGTATATATTGTAAACCAAAAAGGACTAAAATAATAATATTCAGTGTTTTAGTTTAGAAAATAGTTTTTAATCAAAATTATGGTCCAGCAGTTGCCCTTTGGTTGAACTACCGACCCAGTGACCCAATGGTTTGTCAGGACAATAGCCACGTTGGTTCTGATAACTATGCTTGTTGGTACACTTCTGAACTGTTAGAACCATTGATAATTTCCTGTGAATGGTTAAAAGAGCGTAGCTGTAGTCATAATGTGCATGTCATTGGTCTTATAGACACATTATGTTTAATAGTATTTTCATGCAACTGAGATTTTGCCTTGGCTTCGCTTGTTTCAATAACTGAAAGATCGTGCCAGGGTTGAACTGCCCTTTGTCCTTGCTGCTAGTTTTAGTGGTTCATTGTAAGACTCATTTTCTTAGTTTTGAAATTCTCGACATCTTAAAGATGAAAACTGATGAAGGAATCCATAGGAATGATTGAATTCAGAGAGTTGACATAAATGGGTTGGTACAAAATATTTCTGATATTTAAATTGGCTTGATGTGCAGGTCTTTTTCAACCCTGAGATTTATAGCAGTGATTTTACAATCCCTTTACCGGAGGTGATTGACAAATGCATTCAGTCTGCACCAATAGATACAAGAAGGGCCTTGTATAAGGTGACATGAATCCTTTGCTGAACTGCATGCACAATTTGATTACTCTGCTTAATTTTGTTTTATTTATTCCTCCTTTCTTTTGAAAAATGAACAGTAATATGCATCTACATATATTGCAGAATGTTGTATTATCAGGAGGATCAACCATGTTCAAGGACTTCAACCGGAGGCTGCAACGGGATCTAAAAAAGATTGTTGATGCGCGGTTTCAATTGTCAGATGCTCGGATTCGAGGAGAAGTGAAAGTGAGCATGTAACCAATGTTATGATTAGTTGGGCCTTTTTTGTTATTACATTGTGATTTCTGACTGAATATTTAATTTCCAGGCGCAACCAGTGGAAGTGAATGTTGTCAGCCATCCTATCCAGAGATATGCAGTTTGGTTTGGAGGCTCAGTACTTGCATCTACTCCTGAGTTTTTCAAGGTATTTAAAGATTAACTTATTTTTCTATTCTCGTCCTTTTTAAAAAAAATTTGGGGATGGGGGGTGGGGGATTGATCACAATGCCAAATTTCTGGATTGACTCTTAAAATCTATACCCAATTGATCACATTCGAGAGGTCCACTGCTCTCCCATGGAACTACCCAATTTCTGCCTGCTTTCCCTGTTATTACCTCCCTCTATTTGTAGGCACAGGCCATGTGTTGCTTAACAGATCCTCCAACTTCTTCTGTTAAGTGCATGTGCTGTGGTGAGTTATCCCATTCTGGTTTTCCTTTCTTGCCCCTGCTGCTTCTTTGCATCACAATTTTGAACTGAGTTGGTGTTCTATCATTTGCACCCCAAATTCACATTTCGATATTTGTAATGCGTACTTCTTGAAACAAGTCAAATCATACCAGCAATTTCATCTGTATTAGATACTTTCTTCTAAAGCTTTTCTGTTGCAAGGGTTGATGTCCATTGTTGACTGGGGAGTTTTCCCATCGACCTCTCCAAATAACAAAAATAAAAAGTTAAAAATACCATCACAGTGATATTTTAAAATATTTTTCCCAATTTTTGATAAATACTCCCCTTGCGGCAGAATAAAACAGAAACTTCAATAAAGTTGTACTAACTGTTATCCAAATCTAATTTGGTAACTGGAATTTTGCATTTGTGGGTAATTGATCTGGTTTAAATTCTACGATATGATACTTATAAATTAGAAAATAGTCTTCCTGCTATCCACTTTATAAATCCCCTTTACCAGTTAAATCTAGTGGCAACTGTTCATGCAACAGATTGAATTCTTCCTTTTCACTGTTAAAGTGAGTGGTAAATTTGCACTTAACCTTTTTCTTTTTTAAGATGGCACATAATTTATTTGTTAATTTATTCTGGTTGTGCACATCAAATTGTACAACTAATTGTTGAATCTATGACCCTAAATAGTTTAAGTTAACAAGGCTAAGTCCATATTCAGTCTCAACTATAATTCTATACACAAAAGAGCTTAATAATTCGGTGGAGACATGTTTTCTGTCCTTACTATTCATCTATCGCTTGACATAGTTTCAAACCAGTAATTTTGCTTTTTCCTCTTGAGAGTTGGAAGTGTTTTCTGTAATTTATGAAGAAATCAACTCCTCCTGTCAAAAATTCAATGATTTGTTGGAGTTTGTAGTCACAAAGGTGGATCTCAGGACCTATATTTTATGTCGATTTATTTACATGGTGGTGTAAAAAACTACACATGACAATATTTGATGAAATTTTCTAGCCATATAATTTTTTCTGAATAATTAAGTAAATTAATAGACATTAGGCACCATATTTGCTTTAACGTAGAAGTTGAACCAATTCACTGAGTTCCAAATGGAATATAAACGGAATTTCACCATTATCATCATGTACTTTAGAAGATTTCAGTTTCACCAAATTTGGATCTGATTTTTAATACCTTTAAAATTCTCTTTAAGTGGACACCAAGATGTTGCAATCCGTATTCAAAAAGAGATCAATCATATACACTTTGTATGATGTAGATAAAAAAATGCTATGAGGGCAGCCCCATCATTTGTTGTGCTTTTATTTCTTTTTTGGGAATGGAAGAGAGAAGGGGAAGGGGGGGGGGGGGGGGGGGGGGGTCTCTTTTCAAACTCGGGACCGAACATTTTGTCATTTGTCAGCACCACCATGATATGGAAAGAATACTCTTTGCAGAAATAGGCTACTCCTATAGAGTTGATGTGTGACTTGGCTCATATTAAACAATGCTTTGAAGGTCGACAAGTATTCAAAGTAGCTTTTTCCCAAAAATTTGATGTTGCATATCTTTAATTTGAAATGTTCTCTCTCACACAGTGAAAAGTCTTATCTTGCCCACTTGTAGAGAACCGTAAGATTTTTTTACCATAGCAGCAAGTAGGTAGGAGAACAATTTCATATCTTTAATTCTATTATCTATATCTGAAATGTCAATATCCTTTTAATAATGTAGTGAAGTGATTGTATTAAGATAGATGACACCAATTGTATTTGACTGTCATTTCTTTTCAGGTGAAGAAATGGAAAACCCAAGACCAAAATCATGGCAAGCCAAATGTTCTGCTTTTAGGACCACTGTTTGGAAAGGGTATAAAAGCAAGTCAATCTCACATTGGATACTTTTAGCTCTAAGTAGTACGGCAATGCTTGTAGCATTCCCTGCTTCTTCCCTCTTATCCCGCATTTATTTTGCCAATGGGGGAACAAGCAAATGGATAATATCTTGGGTGGCAGCAGCCGGGTGGCCTATTCCTTCATTGGTTCTAGTTCCTACATACTTCTTCTTAGGTGTCTTTCCCACTCCTCTGGACTTCAAACTCGCTGCATCTTATGCCGTCTTGGGTTTCTTGAGTGCCGCTGACAACCTCATGTATGCATATGCATATGCGTATCTGCCACCATCGACTGCTTCTCTTTTGGGATCGACGTCCCTGATATTTTCTGCACTATTTGGATATCTTCTCGTCAAGAACAAAATAAACGCTTCGACTATTAATTCCATTATAATCATTACAGCTGCTATGGCTATCATTGCACTGGATTCGGATTCAGATAGATACGCAAGTATAACTGACCGTCAATA